CATCTTTAAGGGACCCTGAGAAAATTGAGATAATGATCAAGTTCTGGGAAAACTATCTGTAACATTTGTTGTCCAGTCTCTGTGTAATGGGGAAGTGTAGGACTTATCTGCAGTCCCAGCTAGAGTAGTCTATGAGGCTGGACCATCTCACCTAGCAGCTTTGAAGTTGTTCTATATGTAGAATTTTGAGGAAGCTGTAACGGAGGCATTCTGAGAGGCTGGGTTACCTGGGCTGTTTGTCTTGTCTTTATTGATATCTTGTCCTTTTGTTCTAAAAACACACAAATTTTAAAGGTAGCATACATATCTGCATTTACACACGTATGGAATGTACAGTATGTATAAGTCAGCTAAAGATGATTTTCTGTTTTATGTTTAAGCAGGTAAAAGGCATCTGTCACCTTTAAAAATCTGTTTGGACTGTATAACCAAACTATAATATAAATCTCCTCCATGTCATATGAAAGGATGGCATGTAATAATATGTCATGAGGGCTCTCTAGCCAACAATATTTATCATGTCTCATCCAGTCTCAGAGCTGTTCCCCTGTCAAGGGATCAGCATATATGTCACCTGTTCTGTAGTCTTTCTTGGCTTTTCCCCTCATGTCAATAGCTAAGATCCTTAGGATGTCTCCTCTGGTCAAATCTGATCTTTATTAATTTTGAAGAAATCCATAGCTTTTTGTTTCCTGTGGAAACAAAAGCAATGCCCCCATACAACATATTTTCCTACTTCCATTCAGTAGTTAAGATATTTTTAAAATATTTAGGTTGGCTTAATTTAGCAGATTCCATAATTCAATCTCTCCCAGCAGCTATGTTTTTTTTTCTGCTTATTAGCATTTAAAAAATTTAAAGTTAACAAAACACCATACAGGATTCAGACACCTTGTGTATTTCCCATCTTTATATGACTTTTTCCTTTTATATTACTTTCCTATCTCTTTAAAGACTGTATTATTTTTTGAACTATTTATTTATTTATTTTTCTATGACTGTCGACACCCATTTTTCTTTTCTTTCTTCAGCATCTAAGCATACTTTTAAGCACACTGTAACCTTCTCAGAGTTTTTTTTTTTTTGCAGTCTTGATCTGACTTTCCTAAGCCCGGCAGCCCCACACTTGCAGTGTTCTCTGACATGTGAGCCAAACCTTGAACTAAGCCTGGTGGCTGGCTCTTCACCTTCAGGTTGGTTAGAGCAAAGCCTCATGACGGCAGGCCTGGGCTGGAGCTGGTTTATCTGCCCCAGCTCTGGCAATTTTCTGGGTCCACACTATGGTAGGCATTTATATCTAGGCTCCTGCCACCAAGTAGCATGCCATTCAAGTGTTCAGTAGCAAGGCCTCTTAAAAGAGACATGTCTCTATATGCCACAAGCACTGAGCCTACTCAGAACTTTTTTTCCAGCTTTTTCAGGCCCTAGGTAGATTTATGTGCCTCATGTTGGGTGCCATTAGTAGTAGTACCTTTTCATTGGGACCGCCAGCCCACAAATAATGATCAAAGACTTATTATTAATTATAGCTGAAGTTTTCCTGGTCCTGCCCAGCTCCCATGGCCCTGTGGCCACTTGGACCCAAGTAAACACACAGAGGCTTAAATTAATTGAAATTGCTCGGCCATTAGCTCAGGCTAACTATTGACTAGCTCTTACACTTAAATTAACCCATAATTCTTATTTATGTTTAGCCACATGGCTTGGCCTTTTCACAGTTCTTCCTTCACATCTTGCTTCCTCTGTGTCTGGCTGGCGACTCCTGACTCAGCCTTCCTGTTCCCAGAATTCTCTTCTCTGCTTGTCCCACCTATACTATACTTCCTGACTGGCTACTGACCAATCAGCATTTTATTTATCAACTAAATTGGAGCAACACACATTCACAGCATACAGAAAGACATCCCCAGCAATTAATTATGAAAATTTAGTCTTTAGCTTAGGCTTATCCCCAACAAGTTCTTATAACTCACATTAGCCTGTTTCTATTCATTTACATTCTGCCACATGGCTCAGTTACCTCTTCTTAGTACAGCTCATCCAACTTGCTCCCAGTCTGTTGGTGAAATCTCATGCCTAGATTATCTTCCTAGTTCCTCTCTCTCTCTCTAGAAATCCCACCTATCCTCTCCTGTCCAACTATTGGCCATTAAGCTCTTTATTAAACCATTCAGAAGGCATGTTGGCAAAGACAAATCTTCACAGTGTACAAATATTCTGCAACATGCATATAAATAGTCTTAAAATATAGGTATACTGTTTTTAAAAATAAAGTCATGTATCTCATAAGTCTGGGTATAAAGCAATCAGTGTCTCTGCCCTTATCCCCTCACTAAAGGAACTAAATTTACTGTTATTTTCACTTTTACATATTGCATATGGACTTTATGCTGTAGAGGTTTAAGCTTGAAAAGACTTACACATGCGTAGTTTATCCATCTTCTACCTGGGTCCATGTGAAATGTGGGCATTGGTGTGACTCTAGTGGGTGCTTCTCACAGCCATGCTAAGCCTGTATGGAACACTTTTATATTTCCTATCCTGAGCAGCATTTCTCTGGAGTTCATAATAGTCTCTTTATAGAAACATTTCCTCATTATTTAAAAAAAATTATCAATTACTTATTGAGGCTTTATTCAAGAATCCTGTTTCTTAAAGTATTCAAATGCTTCAGGAATCTGTCAGTTGAGTCCTTAGAGACTAGATTGTTGCTCTTTCCTGTTCCACAACCAGGTGGCCTCTGTAGGGTTATGTGCAGCTGTCATATTGGTAGCTTTCTTAACCCCTGTCGGAGGAGTATCTGCTTTTAGAATAGGTTGAGTCCCCTTTTCTTTAAAAATTAGAATTTAAAAATTTAACTATGATACCAAGTAACAGCTTTTCTTATGGTATTTTAATATGTTTTGATTGATTGTCCCTCAATCTCTTCCTCTCCTCCATCTTCCTGCTACCCTTTCTGCATGCACCTTCCACACCCAGTATTCCCCATTTCATTCTCGTATCACCTGGGTTAAGGCCCCAACTGCATTTCAGTCATATCTTCTTAACAGGCTTGCTGGCAGTTAGTTTCTTCTTTCTGCCCTTTCTGCCCTGGCTGATTCCAGCTTGAGAACACTTTTTTCAGCTTTGGTGTTGCTGTTGAGAACTTTACAGTCATGTTGACACCTATATTAGTGAGGATTACTATTGCTGTGAAGAGACACCATGATCATGGCAACTGTTATAAGGAAAACATTTAATTGAGGGGGCTTGCTTACATTCAGAGGTTCAGTCCATTATCATCATGGCAGGGAGCATGGTGGCACGCAAGCAGACGTGTTGCTGGAGGAGTAGCTGAGAGTCTACCTCTTGTTGGCAACAGGAAATCAACTGAGACACACTGGGTGTTATCCTGAGAATAGGAAACCTCAAAGCCTTCCCCCACAGTGACATACTTCCTCTAACAAGGCCATACCCATTCCAACAAAGCCACAACTCCTAATAGTGCCACTCTCTATGAGATTATGTGGGGCAATTACATTCAAACTACCAGAACACTTGATCCTTCATATATGAAACTTTGTGTCTGTGGGTTTCTCTTTGTCATTAGTGCCTTGGAATTAGCATGTCTTGGCATGGATCTAGTTTTACCTTCATAATATATTTTAATGACTAGAATAAGAAAACCATTCAAAACCAAAGCTTTTAGAACAACTTGTTTTGGTAATTTTTTTATATCTCTTTTGGGTTTTTGTTTGTTTAGTTTTGTTTATAAGACTTATTTTTTTCTCTTTGAATGTGATGTTGACCTTCTATTGGGCCTTGCTTTGAGAGCACAGTCTCTCAAGACATTCTTATCAGTGACAATCTTATTCAAAGGGATATGCACAGAGAACTTTGTGGCCAGGAGGTGACTACAGTTACAAATGTTCACTGAATAATGGATCTTTGACACCTTTCTAATTTTTTTTTCTTGCATATCATTTTGTGTCAATTCCAGCCATCAGCACTTTGCTGCAGGGGACATAGAGAAGCCATCGACCATGTTCTTTATGATGACAACTTTATGTTTAGACTAGTATTACTTTTCTGGGCTTGGTGAACTTGACCATTTTGACAGCAACTACCTGGGTCCATAACAGAAATTCTGCATCCACCTGTATGTGGGCATCTGCTGAGAATGCCCCAATTCATATCTTTCAGTTCTGGTAAACTTTATTTGGATATTTATCATTTTTAATGAATAATTTCATTCCCTCTGTCTTTTTGATTTTTAACTCTCATTGTAGGCTATAGAACTTTTTGAACTTACTTTAAAGGTATTTTTTTATTTAGTTCTCTCTCATTTTTTAAAAGAGGTTGCCAACCCGTTTCTGGTTTTATTATCATATTTTAATTCTTCCTTTATGTTCTCTGATTATTCCTTTTACATATGATACTTATTTTGATCACTAATGTACCAGCTTCTCTTAATTTCTCCAAAAATATTTGTGATAATTTCATTTTGGAGGCTATGTTTAGTAGTCAATAAGTCTAGTGTAGTTTGAGGGCTCCAATGTACAATGCAGAATTTTTACTGTCTGTTGGATAAGTCTCAGCCTACCTTAAACCTGCTGTTTCCTAGGTCCAACACCATCCATTTTAACCTTCCCAAGGGTGAATCTCAGGCTTCTGCAAGGTGGAGAAGAGGCAGCTTTGTGGGAGGGTGCTATTGTAGTCTGCTGTTGTCTGGTGCATTTGTGGTCCTATCTCAGAAGCTCCAGACCTCATGGGTTCTGTGGTCCTGTTACTGGGCAGAATATCAGGTGTTCAGGGGTCAGTAAATCTGCAATTATCTACTGTCCCTTCAACTTCCACCCTACCCTGATGACCTGGATTCTATTGTTGGCATCCACTCTCTGATTCTCCTTAGATCTTTTAATCTCCCTGCCTCCATGTGAAAACCATTTTAGAGGGTTTGAGGAGGAAGCAATGATGACTACTTGAGTTCCATCTTCCAAATTTATTAGAAGGCTCTTTCTTCTTGTGTTCAGGAAGCAATTCAATGTTTCCATTTAGCTGGAGAGAACTGTGGAGTTTTCAGGTCTCATCACTTAGTTCTCTGGCTTGTCTTTAGTGGTGGGGATGTATCATTCTCTAGCAACTGGAAGGAGGCAGGGGAGAGTGGTTTTCAGTTTTGTTACAAGAAACAAAACAGGTGGTGAAAGACCTTCAGCTTGCCTGTTTTCCAGTGATACTTCTTGTTGTTAGTAGCTTGTGAAGTTAGTGGATTGTGCTCAGTATTGACCTGTAAACTAATTAAGTAGACTAGGACAAAGAAGAGGAAAATAGAATACATCAGACTACATTACACAAGTGTGTTTTTAAGTTATTAGATAAGGTCTTATGTAGCCCAGGCTGACCCTGAACTTACTATATAGCCAAAGATGACAATGAATTTCTGATCCTCTTGCCTCCACCTCCAGAGTGCTGAGATTATAGGCATGTGCCACTACTATTTCTTGTTTATTTAATGTTGGGCATCAAACTTAGGACTTTGTGCTTAGCAAACACTCCACCAACTGAGGTCTACCCCAAGTGAAAATTGTTTCATGTGTATACTAAAAGAGTATGTATAAATGTTATTTGCCACAGCAAAGTGCATTTTAAAAAGTGCACATAATGCTTTTGTGAAAAAGTGATGAATTTAAAGATCTTTGATGTTCATTTTTCCAACCAGTTGACTGAACACTGATTACTGATTGCAGGCTCTGTCTTAATCAGGGGGGACCCCCTGGAAATCTTTGTGGAGTAGAAGAATAAGGGAGTGGGCATTAGGCAGCCCCCTCTGTCTACCTGAACCTTTCACCTTCTTATTGAATGTTGGCCATTCTGTTGTGTAAGAGATATTTCCTTGAGACAACCCCCACCCCCACCACAAATGCACAAACGTGCACGTGCGTGTGCACACATTACTCACCCCAGAAAGGTAATCCACAACAGATAAAGTATTGATTGCACCAAAATCCAACTTGATGGACCACTGAGTTTCTGTTGGGGTTGTGAACAGGAGCAGGGCTGACTCCAATGTAGCTGAGCGGCATCATGGAAAATCCTACTCCGACACAGGTGATGGCTGTAGGAGATGAAGCCCTGGTGCTCTCTGTAAAACTTGCAGGCCAAGCTGTCTCCTCTCTGCTGCTTTTTGGAAGTTAGAGCCTCCTCCCCCTAACAGTTGTTTTTGCTACTATATATAACCCCTGAGAGGAAATCTGGTGAATCTGATGAATCTGGCATTTTTTGGCTTTCCCAGACACATGAAGTTTATATAGACTTTCTGGGTCTCAGGAATCTCCACCACTCCCTCCTGGAGGCAATGTTTCAGTTAGGAGGAAAGTGCTACATACCACAGTCCTATGCCATACCTTCCTGGGGAGACTTCCACTTCCTGTATCTGTTGCAGCTTCAGTTCAGGCCACTTGTCCCATGAGTTTTGATTGTGAACTAGGCCAAACCACAGCCAGTTCCCATATGGAGCTCATCTGAAAATAAGCAATGATTGAGGTTGGGTTATAGCCTTAAAATGTAAATGGATCTTGGGTCAGGGAGAGGGCTTGATCAACAAAGTGTTTGCCTTGCAAGTCTGAGGACCTGAATTTCATTCCCAAAATCCATGTTAAAAAAATATAGGTGTAATGCTTGGGAGGCAGAGACAGGTGGATCCTTGAGGATTGCTGGCCCATTAGCCTAACCTAATTGGTGAGTTCCAGGCCAGAGAAAAATTTTCTCAAAGAAAAGGGTAGACAGTGCCTGAGGAACAACATTGATATTGTTCTCTGGGCTCTACATGCATGGGCATATGTACACCTGCATACACACATGTGCACATGCACACAGAGAGAGAAAATTTGAAATTAATCTTAGGATGTTCTCATAGTGCACATTGAGGGTGGAGATGGGTTAATTCACTGAGTTACTCCATTGAAACCTTGAGATGGCTTACAGCAGGAGAAATTTATCTCCGTAATTTATTATGTTTATTTTGAACACAGGAAATTAGGTATACTGAAAATGGATGTAGCAATATTTTACATGTCACACGTTCTTCCAGAATTTTGTCAGCTCTACCAAGAGGTAGCCAATGAATCTCTGCACTTGGGGCTATGTGGTGACCTCAAGGAATTGAGTATGATGAAAGCGATATTATATGATTTGCAAGGCTAGGTCATAAAAAGCCATGGAATTGATATCTGTCTGTCTGTCAAAACCTGTGCCCTGGGAGGTCAGTTGTCATGTTTAAAGGAAGCCTAGGTTCGTGATGATGAGACAGGGCACTTTGCCTGTAACCTGCTGAGCTTTCAGCCTGGGTAGTGAGCCACCCCCAGTCTCCACTGAGCTGATCCAGTGGCTGGGCATGATACAAAGAGGAGTCACTCTTGCCAAGCCCTGCTCCAAGTGTGGGTTTGTGAGAAAAGAAATAGCAGTTGTCTTAAATCCCTAAGTTTTGGAGTGGTTTTTAATGCACCAACAGTGGGGAGATAAGAGCCAGAACAACACTTAGGGGGAATGATGCGTTAATAGAGTGTAGAAGTCCCCCACAGCAGCCACTCAGGCTCTCTGTGCCATCAACAGAGACACTAATAATGCCCATTCAAAGGATAAAACATCTTCCAGGCACCCTTGTAGAGAAAACTGGCCAGCGACACTAAAGCAATTTCTTGGGTGGAACTTTTGGGAAAAGATCTTCAAAAAATTTAAACCACACTTCTCCCACCCTCACCCCTTTCTTTGTGTGTGAGTGTGCTAATGCTTACCGTAGTGCGTGAGTGGGAGTCAGAGTCAACTTTGGGGAGTCAGTTTTCTTCTTTTATCATGCAAGTGTCTGGTATCCAACCCCATCAGGATTGATGGCAACACCTTTGCCCACTGAGCCATCTTGCCAGCCCTGGAGAAGATCTTTAAAAGGGGTTTTCAACGGGAGTTGCCTTTTTGTTTTCTCTGCTCTTTTTTTTTTTTTTTTTTTTTTTTTTTTTTTGGCATTGAGCTTAACTACAATGAATGGGTTTCAGCGCCATTTTGTGACCAGGAGGTGGTTTAAAGTAGAAACTGTGGGTTATGGAGGAATGAATAAAAGACACAAGAGGCAGGTACTGATTATGTGGTGAGACACCAAACTCACCCTGGAATATCTGCTAGCATTAATAGGAGAGGAAATAAACTGTTAGTCTCTTTGAAGCACCGTTATTTTAGGCCTCTAACCAGCAGTCCAATGTAAACCCAACTGATGTAGGTGAGATCTGTTGGGAATCAGAAGAACGGTGATCACTACAAGCATCCAACCAAATGTTACATGGATGCAAAGCACCTGAAACCCGGTGTCCTCAAATACTTATGATCATCTATTGGTCTGTGTACCAGATAACTTTTTATAGTCCTGTTCTCATTTAACAATTAAAAGGCCCGAGTACAAGCTTGTTTGTTTGTGAGACTGTATGTTGCTATAAAGTACAGACTGGTCTTGGACTCTTCATCTTCTTGCCTCAGCCTCCCAAATGCTTTCTACATCAGAGGCAAGTGAAGCTGGGTTTCTTTCTTTGTGCACATTAGAAATTCCAGCACTGAAGTAGCTGAGGTAGGAGGATTATGAATTTGAAGACATCTTGGCTTGAGTAGTGAGACCTTGTCTCAAACAATGAACCAAACAAACAAAAATGGAAAAATAACTGAGAAACAATGAGATAGAGAGATCTTACTCAGACCTAGGGCTCAATGATGCTGCTGTTCTAATCCCAATGCTTCTAGAGCTTTGTGAGTGGTGAGATGGTAGAGCCTGAAAGACATCGAGGGTGCCAGAGACTTGTGTTGAACTTGGTCACGTAGTGGTGCTTGAGTGTGGGCCTGGTCTTCTTTTGGGTAAAAGAGGAGGCAATGACTGTGAAATTTTGAAGGCTATCACTGCCATGAGCAAGAATGGCGGTAGCTAGCAGTGCTTTTCTGTAGCATTAGGTTTTCCAAAGGTGGCTCTGACCCTGCTCTAAGTCCCACTGAATCCTACAGTGTGATTTCCATGCTATTCCGCCAACAGAGGAACTTTGTGCTCCTGCCCTTCCGATCTTGGCTCACGTGTGTGATGGAAATGAGCATGTATGGCATCGGAGAAAAGACCACCAAAGAGGAGGTGGTTCCTAGGTAGCCACTCATCAGCTTTGGAAGTCAAGACCATGGTCTACCCAGGTGGCTTCTGGAGAGGCTGTGGGGCAGGAACTGAGTCAGTAAGCTCCCAGGCAGCACTAGCTCACCAGCTATAGGTCCTGCTAATCCTGAAAATGAGCCCCTTGGTTTCCACTGTGGCTGCCTCTGCTGACACCAGGCCAGCAAAGATGGTGTCTCCACTGGCCAGGATTCACTCTCAGATTCATGAGCTAAAGAAATGATATACTTTAAAAGCCACTTAATTTCACAGTGGCTAGCTTATTTATGTAGGCAGATAAGTGGAGCAGATGTACAGTATTGTAGCTGGTACTTCTTAGTAGTTGATGGAAGTTAGTAGTGATTAATATTATAAATATCATTTTTATGGATTCAGCAGTACTCTTTTCTACTGTCCGTAATTAAAGATATTTGTGAACAGGCATGAAGGGATCAGCAGATAGAAATGTGTCTGGAGATTTTTCTGAGTGGTTCAGTGCCCATGGATTTGTAATAATAAGGGCTTGGTGTCCCCATCTAAACCACTCTGTGCCTTTAGATGAGTCAGTGTACAAACCATCCACACATGGTGTTCCCCTCCCTGGTCTAAGCTGCTTGAGAAATGAGGCAGCTGCTTATTCACCTTGGGGTAGAAGAGCCTAGGCAAAGCACTCCCTCTCAGAGGGAACTAGGGAAGCTTGGATGAATTGTGGGTCTAGTTAGTCTCCCAGGATTATCAAAGGGGAACCCCCCACACATCTAAGATGATGGTCAAGACAGCACAGATGACATCAAGGGGGTTCTGAGGACAAAGATGGTCTCCAGTCACCGTCCTCTCCTCTGAACAACTCAACACATCTAGCCAGTGTGTGTGTGTGTGTGTGTGTGTGTGTGTGTGTGTGTGTGTGTGAGAGAGAGAGAGAAAGAGAGAGAGAGAGAGAGAGAGAGAGAGAGAGAGAGAGAGAGAGAGAGGAGGGGATGAACTTGCCTGTACACAAATGTGTGGAGGTTAGCAGTTGACATTGGCTATCTTTCTCAATCACTCTCATTTATTTATTTACTTATTTATTTATTTATTTATTTATTTATTCATTCATTCATTTACTTACTTATTTATTTATTCATTCATTCATCCATTTACTTACTTATTTATTTATTTATCTATTCATTCATTCATTCATTCATTTACTTACTTACTTATCTATCTATCTATCTGTCTGTCTATTATTTATTTATTTATTTATATTCTGGCTTGGCTGAAACTCACCTGACACTCTCTATGTAGACCCGGCTCTCCTCAAACTTACTGAAATCCACCTGCTTCTGCCTCCTGAGTGCTGGAATTAAACATGTGTGGGCTGCCTTAACTGTCCCTTTTAAAGATAAGGTCTCTCCTTGAGCCCAGAGCACGCCATTCTGGCTTGACTGCCTGGACAGAGTGCCTGGAGTCTGCCTGTCTCCACTCGCCGGGGTTATAAGCGCAGCCTGCACGGGTTGCTAAGGACCCCCACACGTGTGCAGCAAGCTCTCTCCCCACTGAGCCTTCTCCCCAGTCACCAGGCTTCCTTTGCAAGAGCCTCTGATAAGTGTGTTGGCAGGCATTTTGTCTTTTCCTGGGCTGGCTACGCAGACTCGACTTTCTCCGTTTCCCTTTGCCAGATTTCCCCTGCTTTTCTGTCTTCACACACTCTGGGTAGGAAGACTAAATCTAAACTTCAGTTAGAGCTCAGCCAAGCCTGTGTGAAACAAAAAGAATGACCCTTGGTCTGCATATTCCATGCTTCCCCCCCCCCCAGAGTTCCTAAAAGCCTTTCCTTCCCATACTGAGTTTCTGACTTCCTTGAGCTTCTGAGACTCGATTTTGCTCTTTACACACCCTTGTATCTGTATTCTTTGTAAATTTTAATCCTTCCCATTGCTATGCAGCCTGTTTCTTGCTTACAAGAATGTCCTTTCTGCCTATCTTCCAGGGCCCCTTTTCATGTCATCATTCTCGGTCCCTTACACCCCAGGAACACTGGCCTTTGTTTATGTTGTTAGTCAGCTAGCTCATTTCTCGATTCCTTCTAGTGATCCATGGGCCTGGCACAGGGTATCTGTTGCAAACATCCACCTCACTCCCTATCAGTTTGTTCGCTTTGGCTTCCTCTCTAGGTGCATATGCTTAGACACCTTGGCTGAGGAAGCACACTCCTTCACTGTGGGCAGGAGGGCTGGAGGTGGGAAAGTGTGGAACAGAATGTGTGTGTGGGGGAAGGGTCAGCTTACTAGAGTCAGCTGTCAGCCAAGGAAGGTGGTGGCTTGTGGGTCAGCGTTTTCCCCTCCTTGACTTCCAGATGGAGAGATGGTCCGATGAATATTCCACATCATATCTATGAGTCCCTAGCAGGATTGAGCCCCGTCATCCAGAATGCTACCTGCTTGCTGGCCTGCTCTTTCTCCCACTCCAATACCTCCCAAATAGCTATTTGCCCTCAGACCCTTGCTGAGATCTCAGCCAAAGGTGTTTATTATGAGTCTATGGCTGTTATTGACAGAGGGTGGCATTGTGAAGCAAGATGTCTTCATAAGACACCTCATATGAAGTGTCTGGTGAGTCACCAGCATGTGCTACACACACACACACACACACACACACACACACACACACACACACACACACACACACATTAATTCGTCCACTTGGCTAATACCAAACGCATACTCTGAGCCCTAGATAGGGATTGCAGCACCATTACCTGTTGGTCACCGTTCACATTACTCTGACAAAATACCAGACTGGGAGAAAAAACAGCCTTAAAGCAGGAAGGGTTTCTTCTGTCCACCATTTTAGAGGGTCCGCTCCACCATGACAGAAAAGCACAGAGGAGCAGCACTTCCTCTGGCAGATAGGAAGGAGAGAGAAAGATGAATGCCTGGGCTCCACTGTGCTCCCCACCTTCCTCTGTCTGGGTCTCAGTCTGTGACATGATGCCACCCCCATCCAGGAGTGGTCTTTCCCCTTACTTCACTCTCTCTGGAAATGCTCTGATGAGCATTTCCTCACTCAGGTACCTCACAGTCTCCTAGGTGATTGCAAATCTAGCCAAGTTGGTAACCCAGATCAACCTTTAGAGATTACAGAATCAGCTGCAGAACTAAGCTAGAGTCACCACAGGGCAGGCAGGCAGGATGCCCCAAATGCTGTCTACTCCATTCCCCTTCAACTTTTGTAGCTGGAGTTTTCTCCAGTCCTGCCTGGCCCAGGGTCAGGACAAATCTCTCTCACCTGCCAGTCCCGAAGCCGCTCAGATCCAACCGAGTAAACACACAGAGACTTATATTGCTTACAAACTATATGGCCATGGCAGGCTTCTTATTATCTAGTTCTTTTATCTTAAATTAACCCATTTCTATTAATCTATACTTTGCCACATGGCTCATGGCTTACTGGTATCTTAACATCTTCCCATGGCTGTGACTGGCAGCGTCTCTCTGCCTCAGCCTTCCACTTCCCAGAATTCTCTTCTCTGCTTGTCCTGCCTATACTTCCTGCCTGGCTACTGGCCAATCAGATTTATTTATTTATACAGAGCGATATCCACAGCATTACCTTCATTAGAAGATAATCGATCCATTTATTTTCAACCTTCTTCATTTGGCCTCCATGTCTTTTCCCATTCTTTTTAGATTCACTTTTTTTTTTATTTTATGTGTATAGATATTTTGCTTGCATATATGTCTGTGCACCACATGCATGTAGTGTCCAGAGAAGCCAGCCGAGGGCATTGGATCCCTTGGAACTAGAGTAACAGATGGTTGTGAGTTACCCATGTGGGTGCTGGGTCCCAAACCTGGGACCTCAGCAAAAGCAGCTAGTGCTCTCAGCCACTGAGTCCCTCATCCCCTTTTTAACATCTGATTGTTCTACTCCCTTAGCCTTCACTGGGCTCCTCAGGAAGACTCACCTTGTGTTATCACCACCCTCCTCCCACCTTTTAACTCCCCTTCCTCTGCTTTGACGTGGACTATTCCATGAATCTGCCTCAGACTGAATTATGCTGTTGTCACCAACCAACTGGCTGGGTGTTCCTTTACTCTACTTGTGTGGAAATCCTGGAAGGAAAGTGTTGAAGGAGATTTGTTGGCTCTGAAATGGCCAATTGAATCAGACCTTAGTTTGAAGGGTGGAGTCCACTCTAAGCTGGCCAGAGTGGATCATAGTGGTTTTTTTTTTTTTTTTTTTTTTTTTTTTTTTTTTTTTGCTAACTAAGAGGAAGTTAGAGGGACACACAGAAGAGGAAGAAGGAAGGGCCGGTAGAGACACCTGGTCTTCTTCAACCAGGGAAAGTGGAGAAGAGGGTGGGTGATTGTCTCTCCATTTTTCATGGATCTCTCAGGTTTATTCCCCTAATGTTTAACTCTCAAGTTTTATTTTTTAATAAAGCACTAAAAGAAGTTGCAATATCTGCTGTCCAATGCATGACCTTAGATCTTGTCTAGACAGTGAAGCCGCCACAGCTGTTCCTGCCACCCCCCCCCTCCCCCTCTCAGCCAGCTTTGTCATTCAGGTCATCCTGTGCACTAATACACCATGCCCCTCAGCCCTGCTGCTGTATGAGCAGGTGTCTCAGCCAGGCCATGCACTGCCAGTGGCAGGTGACTTGGTCCTCTCTACCCTGCATCCTGTGCTCTTCTGCTTGTAGTAGGTGGCTTGGTTCTCTCCCATGCTGCATCTCAGACATATAGGTTTCTCCTTTGGCTCACCCGCTCTCTGCATGGCGTGTGAGCAGCCACAGTGGCCCCGGCCCATTCGTGCAATTAGCACGGTTCATGACACCCCACCATGCCTGCCCGCCTTGCTGGCACAGTCAAATATCAGGCACAGTTGAATATTGTCACTGCAGCTGATTACCCCCACAGAGCTCCACCTATGTGACCAATGTCTGCAGATTTAGTGAGACACCTGGAAATTCTTTTTTCCCCCCAAGACAGGGTTTCTCTGTGTAGTTTTGGTGCCTGTCCTGGATCCCGCTCTGTAGACCAGGCTGGCCTCGAACTCACAGAGATCCACCTGGCTCTGCCTCCTGAGTGGTGGGATTAAAGGCATGTGCCACCACCGCCCGGCTCCTGGAAATTCTTAAAGGGGAATTAGGTTTAAAAAAAAGGAGTGGGGAGAATCTTTCCCATATTAAGAATCAGAAATACCTCAATGCAGGGAGTTACTTGCAAATGGAAAAAATAAATGAAGGGATAAACCACTTAGCTGGGATCAACATAATACCGATTTTAATTACTATCAGCTTGGTATTCATATTTTATCCTTAAAAATGGTCTGATAATTGTGACAAATATGAAAATTGGACTGATAAGATACAAACCTTAGAAAGATTTGCTATTGATAAGATGTAAGTTGTAGAAAGACTTACTACTGATAAGATACAAGCCTTCGAAAGACCTCTTCAGACACAGTCAGAGGAATTTAGAGCAGAACTTACCACACCATTGCATTATGAAATGAAAGGGGAACGGTCCAAGGTTATTAGAAAACGAACTTCAGTTTATCTGGTTACCATACAAGAATGGCCACCAGATGATAAACATCCCCAAGGCCATGTAAAAATTGACTGGAATCCTGTAGAAGTGTTAGATTTGAAGAGATTTCAAGAAGCAGTCATTTCATATGGTGTGCATTCACCCTATGTGAAACAGATGTTAAATTCGTGGGCAACTCAAAACAGAATTAACCCACAAGACTAGAAAGATGTCCTGGTGGCAGCTGGCAGTGTCCCCTCCTGCCTTCCTGTTCCCTCAATTCTTCTCTCTGTTAGTCCCGCCTATACTTCCTTCCTGGCTACTGGCCAATCAGTGTTTTATTTATCAATCAATCATCCACAGCACAGCACCTTAGTTATCTGCAGGAACATGAATACTTGCAAAAATAAACTTAAAGAATTTATCGTTTGCTTTTTATTACAGTGGGCAGTAAATAGAGACTCATAACTTCAAAGTGCTGAAAATAAGTGACTCAGAGTGCTTGATTCTCAGGGAACTTTCTAGAAGAGAGGGCAGAAAGAATGAAAGCGGATGAGGAGGAATACTGTGAAATGCTGTCCTCTGGACAGGATGTGGCTTTTACATTCATGAGCCCACAGCAGCTATTGGTGCCTGTGTGAGACCTGTATGATGTAAAGCCAGCCAAACTTCTGGTATAGGTGGGGGAGGTGTTCTTCAGGCCTCATGCCTAGCTGAGGACCTATTGTCAGTTGATGGCCGTGAGGGAGGAAGAGTCACTTTGGTTGAGAGGTGGATACTAGCAGGTTGCCCAGGCCCTGCTACATTCATGTGCACATGGGTGGTACTAACCAAACTCAATGAGCTTGTGGTGATGATGATAATAATAATTTTTAAAAGAGGATATGAAGTTGAGAGACAGATGCATTTGAGGGATTGTAGGGATAGTTAGAGGGGTAGTAGGTATTGGTCTAAAGAAAATATCAATCATTCATTTTTCTTTTCTTCTTGCTGAGACACACCATGTCACAGACACTGTACCCTCTCATCCCATGCCAGTGTTTCCTGAGTATACTCTTCTTGGAGTCATTTTGGATTTCTGATTTTTTTTTCTAGGTGGGCTTTCTCAACCCATCATGTAACTCTGAGCTTTGCATTTCATTTTACTTGCATGTCAGGATTAATTTTACTTTTATACTGTCTTTTTACACTATTCTCCTACTGGTTTTTATTCTTTTATTGTGGAATAGCCTTGGATAATTTCTATAGAAATAATGCTGAGAGGTTCACTCTCCAAGTCTTTTTATGATTAGAATGTGTTTAATTTATCTCAGACTTATTATTAGTTTAACGTCATATAAAATTCTTACATAGATTAATGTTAGTGTAGAAGAATTGAATAAATTATTTTCCAACAGGAGCTTGAATGCTTTTCAGCACAGTCTAATAGCACTTTGGTTTGTTGATGGTAGTATGGTTCTTAATTATTTGTACATGACCTATTTTTTATCTGTAAGCATTTTATACTTCCTTTATATCCTTGATATTGTAACATTTCAGAAGTGTCTATACAATTTGCAATCACTTCCCATTCATTTTACTGGTACTCAGAGGACTATTAAACATGAACACTTGGATACATTTCTTTGTAATCTTTTCTTTATTATTATTTTTAAATTGAAAATAGATTTCTTTCTTCACATAATATATTCTGGCCATGGATTTCCCTCTCCCAGTGTCTCCCAGATCTATCCTACCTCCTCACCCACTCAAATTCACACCCTTTCTTTCTCTCTCTCTCTCTCTCTCTCTCTCTCTCTCTCTCTCTCTCTATCATTAGAAAACAAACAGGAAGGGGTTGGAGAGATGACTGAGAGGTTAAGAGCACTGGCTACTCTTCCAGAGGTCCTGAGTTCAATTCTCAGCAACCATATGGTGGCTCACA